CCCTCTCGATCCCTCCCTCAACAACGCCGGTGAGTCCATTTTGTGCGTCTTTCATTTCCTCCTGTACATTCAACGGATACTAATCTTTATGATATTTCTGTACAGTTGTCGAGATAATAACTATTAACAATTCAAATGACCCCGAAGACAATAACGAAAACAAACAATCTGGGCAGAAGAAAACCAGCAACTACTCAGAGCAGGAGGACGTCGAGCTGTGCCGAGCATGGGTCCAAATTTCTGAAGATCCCGTCGTTGGGACCAACCAGGAGGGCAGTACGTTTTGGGTACGCATCGAGAAGCTATACCGAGAGGCAACTCCAAACTCTCCAAGCCGACCTGTCGGCAGCATCAAGTCTCGCTGGGCTCTATTGCAAAAGAGCATCAACAAATTCCGGGGTTGTGTGGTCCAGGTCGAATCATTCAACGCGAGTGGGACCTCGGCCGAAGATCAGTTGAACCGCGCACTCCGGTTATTCACCGAGGACCAAAAATGCAGTTTCAAACACTTGCGATGCTACAATCTTCTTGTCCGGAGCCCGAAATGGAACCAATACATCCGCGATAACGAGAGGAAGGCCGCTGCTGCGAAGCGCAAAAGGGCGGTGACTCCGACTCCTGTTGCCGAGGTTGCCCCCTCAACTCCATCGGCATCAAACACCAGGGGCGCTTCCCCTGGATTTTCAACCCCTGCTCCATCTACACCGGCGGGCTCGAATGCAGCTTCAGAAAGAAGGCCAAAACCCTCCTTCAGTTGGCCGCGATGGACGACGCTTGGAAAACGCAAGTTGCCTCGGCTCAAACAGTGATCGCGACTCAATCAAAGATTCAAACCGAGATTCTCGGTAAGGATTCTGAATCGTTGAAGTTGATGGCTGAGAGCGGGGCTCTCGCGTTGGAAGCGGCCATCATGACTCGCGATCTGACTGGCCTGGACCACGAGCAGCGAGAGTTTTTTATGCTCAAGAGGAGAGATATCGTTTCCGCTCTCCGAGCTCGTGTCACCGCCAACGCCACCAGTGCGATCACTAGGGCTGAGTAGGCATGTCGTTGTCCACCCCGCCCATGTTGCCATGGGGTTCTTTCCCTCTCCCCCCATATAGTTCCAGGTCTCTCCCCCCCATGTTCTGTGTGTCTATCAAAGTTTTGTTCCCATCCATAGTTGTCTGTCTCTATCAAAGTGTTTTTCCCCTTCCATATCAATGTTCACTCATTATTCATTTCAGTTGTAGTTAGCAGTATGTAGCCATTGTCTGTCTTTACATTAAGTCCATGTGTGTTGTGTGTTGTTTCAACAGGTTGCACAATCCTCAGGAATAAACAGTACCAAACTTTGATTTAAAATAAACATTATGACCAATGAAAATGTGAGGTTTGAGGTACTGATAAGTGAAATCACAATCAGAATGACATTTAAACTAAATCAATGTGATTGATATTGGACTTCAAAGAACTACAGACTTAAAATGAAAAAACAAAATGCTCGAACCCTCAGATATTATATTCAACTTCAAAGAACAACAGACTTGAAATCATAAAAATGAAAACCAACAGACCAATGGAAATGATGAGGTTTCAAGGCATAACTAAAGAAAATGATCAAAGAAAGACTCATTGAAAAACACAAAAGATCAGAATAAGAAAGATTATTCGCCTTGGTCCCCCTCGAGGTCTTCTTCACCTTCTTGCCCCTTCACATCCCATTGATGTTTGATTAATTCGTTTTGTAACTGAACATGAGTTCCCAAGTCCTTCATCGAGTGATAGTTATCGATAAAATCGGCAAATGATATGGACTCTTCTCGTGAAACTTCCACAGGCGTGACCACAGCCTCAGGTGCACTATCATAAGAATAATCTAAGTAACTGTCCCGTTCGTCCTCCACTATCATGTTGTGCATTATGATACAGGCCTTGATGATGTTGCGGAGATTATGATGCTTCCATCCACGCGCTGGCCGAGATACTATTGCAAAACGAGATTGGAGAACACCAAATGCACGCTCAACATCTTTGCGCCGGGATTCTTGCATCTTGACAAAGTGTTTCTGCTGCAAACCTCGTGGTTGGGATAATGTCTTGACAAATGTTGCCCAGTCTGGATAAATCCCATCCACCAGGTAATAGCCTTGATGGTAGGTGTGACCGTTGATTGTGTATTCACATGTCGGGGATTTTCCATTCAAGAGGTTGTCGAATAGTGGTGATGTGTCCAATACATTAATATCATTGTGCGAGCCGGGCATTCCAAAGTAAGCATGCCATATCCACATGTCTTGTGATGCGACAGCCTCAAGGATTACAGTTGGTTTCTATAAACACAAACAGAATTTATTTGCTCAAATTATGTGATGAAATTATCAGAAATTCTCATTAATGGACAGCATACCTTTTCTTTTCCTTGGAATTGCCCAGCCCAGCGGATGGGCAGTTCTTCCATCGCCAATGCATACAGTCAATCGAACCAAGCATTCCTGGGAAGCCCCGCTTGGCCCCAATCGTCAAAAGCCTCTCCAGGTCGGCCACGGTTGGGTGGCGCAGGTACTCCTCTGAATAGGTTGCAACAATGGCATTACAGAATCGATCCATACTTTCCAGAGACGTCGACTCAGAAATTTGGAGGTATTCATCGTTGCAATCCGCAGCACCACCGTAAGCGAGCATGCGCAAGGCTGCAGTAATCTTGATGATTGGCCTCAGGCCCCACCTCCCCAGAGCTTCGGGTTGATGCGTGAAGTAGGGGTCGAAATCCTCAACGGCTTGCGCGATCCTCAGGAATAACGGCCATGCCATCCGAAAGCGTCGTCGAAATGTCTCATCAGAATAGAGAGGACAGCGGTCGAAATAATGGGCCATGAGCCGTTGATAGCTGCCTTCGAAGTCACGAGGCAGGTTTGGATGCTTGCCCGGTCTCGATCCGCCGTGTGTGGGCTCTTTGCGGGTTTCGTTCTCGTCTGCGAGGAGTAACGAAGTTGCTTGCATCACCGTGTTGATCCTGGCGTTTGAGCTGGCAGTCATCTGCCTTCGGCGCAAGAGTAGGAGCAGGATGTTCGGATCGGAGACCTTGAGAGACGGCTCAGTTTGAAGGTCGGAGTCCATGGCTTTCGTAACTGGCAGGAATCGTGGATTGTGATTGCTCAATACGTGATCAAAAACAAGGGGATGATTAAAAGTTGGGATGATAGGGGGGCAGACCGGGGGCGGCCTTTCACGCGCGAGGCGTTGAGGATAGCAACGTGCGGTGGAAAATAGTTTTTCCCAGGGTTGCTATCCGCACGCCGCAGCTCCCGAGCTGGTAAGTTTACCAACGCGGATGCCTCTTTGGGGTGGAGATGGTCTTAGGTGAGGGTAAACCGCCTCTTATATGTTTGTTATCCACACTTGGTTTCAGTGGATAGTGTAACAACAATAAAAAAAGGCAGAAGAAAAAATAACAAAAAGGCTGTTGCAGTTATTGTAACACTAATGGCCTCAATTCTGTTCCACTGTTTTTCAGCTTGCTACTATGGCAGAGAAAACCTGTCATAAGCAAAATAAAATAATAAAAGTACATAAAAAATCTAAGAATAAAGTAAAAATATTACATAAGTAAAAGAAACTACTTTACTTATGTAAATAATACAAAAACACTTAAAATATAAAAATTACTTAGAAAGTATAAAGAAAACTTTAATTATTATTGCAGATTCTAAATCTGCATACAATTTAACATAGGGTACCTCAGCCAAAGGTACCCCCAATTTTCACTCCTTCACCCTTTAATACAACCTTGAATAATTAACCAGTACCTTTAGATCACGGGCCCTGGATAATTATGCATTATACATAACCAAATGCATATACTCCAAATCTTGTCACGGATTTGGAGTGTTGTGTAAAGTTTAGAAGATAGTGTAGTGTGGCGTGTACTGTCTCCAAGCCCGCGCGCCGCGTAGTCATGCTGCGCACTGTTGACAGGCGCGCCTGACTACAATTGAGCCCAAGGCTCAAGCCCCCGCGCGTGCTAGGTATGCCTGCCCGCCTTGGATACATGCATAATCCCCTCTGGGTTACCAGTATCCAAGGAATTGGGCCACAAAGCCCCAGAAACTCACTGTGCACGTGTCAACAAAGCCCCCACACGTGTAATAAAAATATAAACAAGCTAGAATATTCTTGAATATACTACATTAACTATGTATATTCCATCTTCCAGTTTGTAGCACGTGTAATAAGCCCTAGAAACCAGTTCTGGCATATTCTGTGGCCCATTTCCAAGGAAATAGCTCCACGTAACAGACTAGCCCCTACCCACAGGTTCCTAAGGGATATTCTTGGTTCAAATAAATTCGTGCATGACCCCTTGGAGCTTCTAGAATATTATCCCCAAGGTTTCAGCCCTTGTTGCGTCACCATGTGGGCTAAAATGGGCCCAAAAGCGCTCCCAAGACCTACTAAGCTCCCCTGAGCAACCCCTGAGGCCTTCCACAGGTATTTAGAGGGCCTTCTGACCGCCCAAATAATGATCCCCCAGCTTTTCAATACCTTATAGAAATTTACTTACCATTTACAAGTCTCCTACACTTGTAATTAGCCTAGTTACTACTATAATTGCTGTTATTAAAGCCTCAAGAACCCTCAAGAAACTCCCCAGTTATCACCCAGAACCCAAAATCAACCATTCTGAGCGCTCCCAACTGTCCAGTTTTTACTAAGAAGATTTTCAAGACCCCTTTGGATTATTACTAGTAAGTAATAACCCTTTCTTGAAGATTTTCCCCTAAAAATTATCTCCTGGGATTTAAACCACACCTGCTACAGGCCCCAGTGTATCAGGTACCTAAATCCTCTGCTTTTTGCACGATACCTTAGAGGGATTAAACCACCCCTGATTTATCAGGCCCCTCTGGTTTAATTTATATTAATTTTATTAATATAAATTGGCCCCTTTTTGGATTTAATCCATAAATTTCACGTAATTCTTTTGAATTACCTGTACCAGTTCTATCCCAGAGTTTTTTTCATAAAAACGCTTACTTTTTGCACCTTGTGTAGCTAGAGGACACGTGTCTTGGCATCACATAGGCTGACCACTGTTGCTCCTTTGGCACCTTCATTAACACCTGCCACCCACCTGGCAATGAA